ATTTGACAGATATATTTGACTTGTATTTATGTGACACAAAAATCAACTTTCACAATAAAAAAACTCTTATATAAGATACAATTTCTTTAAATATTTTTATGTATATCTGTAAGATTTTTTTAAGACGATTCCCGCTTTCGGTACATATCCTGTGTCGCGGGGTACCTTAGAAACATACATGAAACAGACACAAAGAACAACCAGACTCAGAAAAACAATTTGTGGAACACACAAAGTGTCGTCCCATGTCTGGATCAGACCCACAACACTCAGCGTAGCAGTAAGCGGCGTGACGACCGCTTAAAACACTAGGCCATCGGTGCAATCAGTTGTTATACTTTAGGATAATAATACATCTATATGTATATATAAAATAATTAATTATCATAAGGAAGTGTACATAAGAACTAAACTAGATAAAGTGCTCAATTCACTATTTAAACTCACATTAAGATAAAGCAAAATAATAATATTTCTTTAAGCAGATATATTTATTTAATTACTTGATTGACTTTGATTTGCCAAGAGTAGTGTTTTAACATAATACAATATATTGTAGATTATATAATATTAATATAGTTATCATCATCAACATCTCAGCCGAAAGATGTCCACAGCTGGACATAGGCCTCCCCAAGTTTCGCCACTACAGCCAGTCCTGTGCATCCAACGGCTTCCCACGACCTTCACCAGGTCGTCAGACCATCTTATGGGCGGCCTACCCTCCGCCTACCACAGCCAGTGCAACTTGGTCAAAACGTCACGAAATTCAAAGGAAATGAGATTCCTATTGATTGTTTAGGATCTACGATGCCAGCTACACATAATATACGTCAAACTTATAACACCCCTCTTTTGGTGTGGGGGGTTAATAAAAAGGGATAAGATACCATAACTATAAAGGGAGCTAAGTTGTAAAGAAAACGAATTATCTTTATAAATAAAATATTTTAAAATTTAATTAAAAATAAAACGCGACATCCCTAACAGACGCAGGCGCACGCCACAAAAATCCCGTTGCGAAACAGCTGGCGTTTATAAATAAGTGTGAGCAGGATCTAAGTGACATGATCAATGAGTTGGAGCGAGACAGATATAGGGCATATGCTCATAGCTGATAATGATAAGGTGTGCTGCCGAAACTTACATAAAAATTTACCCAACTGTGTAAACTGAGAGATAATGATTTTAATACAACAATCCAGGTGTAGTGGATAAGCAGATGTAATGTTACCTACTTAATATACGACTTAAGAAATAATCAAATTGATAATTACCACCTTTCATTACATAAGAATCAGGGCATGGAAGATTTCTGGTCGAGTCGAAGTCGACTAGCCCCCCACCTGCTTGCGAACTTACAGGAGTCTTGTAAACTTTTTTAGTTATTTTGCTATGTGTATTTACTTTTTAACTAGATAGGCCTTTACCGAATTAATAAAATATCTCTACTAGTATTATAAAGCTGAAGAGTGTTTTTGTTTAACTAAACGCGCTTATCTCAGGAACTACTGGTTCAATTTTTTTTAATCTTATTTAACCCATTTATCCAGGAAGGCTATAACATCACGCAAAGCCTAACATGAGCAGAGCATCAATGAAAAGTGTTTAAAAAACGAAAAAAATGTATACAACAGGATGTAAGTATTCCAGTTCAAATTGAATCCGCCCAAACGTTGCCTGGAAGAAATTGCACTTAGAGATAAGTTCGCCCTTTGTACATTACATCTGTTGTTAATTACTTTATAATGGTGCTAATTCTGTCGTTCGAAAACTCTCTAAACCAAACTAAAAATCACTAAAAATGTGTTTAGTTCTGTCAAGTACCACGTTTTCAGAATACGAAACGTTATTTGACAGGACTAAACAAATTTTTAGTGATTTTTAGTTTAGTTTAGAGAGTTTTCGAATGTCTGTGAAACCCTGGTGTACAAATAAAGTATTTATCTATCTATCTAAGTATTAATTTTAATTTCTAATTATTTAAATTATGTGATCGTATGAAATGGGAGTTTTATCTCTGTGAAGTTGCGCGTGCGCATTGATGTGTGTCTAAGTAGGCCGAAAAACCTCAAGTGGATGGTTATTTTTAATTAATGCCTATTTGACTTACATTTTAAAATGTCTGGAAGACAAGTGCTTTAGCACTTGAGGAGATATAATTAGTTTATGATATGAAAGTGGAAATGAGTTTTATAAACCACGGAGTGGTACCACGGTCTCATAGGCAACTGGTGTTAAGCCCAAAATCAACCCACTCTCCTCAATCTGCGGGGGGGCAACATCTTTCATCATCATTTCTATCTGTCTGTGTCTAAAAAAGGACGGAAGTATGTAACAGGAAGTGATGCCCGCGCTATTTGATTTGACCAATGAGCGGTGAGAACTGCTAGTGCAAAATCTGCGAGTTGTATGTTGATATCATACTTCAATATTGTAGACAATGAATGTTGATTGATATAGGTGTTGATTGTTGACCGAGACATTTGTTTATCTATTTTAAAGTGCATGAAAATCGTTGCGATAAAATGGTACTCAGGCTTTTGGGCTGTAGCCTTGCTTAATACAATTTTTGGTTCATTGTTGGTTTAGGAAATAAAGAGTACAACAGATTTCTGCTCAAATTGAAAAAAAATATGAAATATTTTCGACTTTAAAGAATTAAATGACTTACTAAGGGTATTAAGAGTTGTTGCCTCTCCTGATTGTAGATAAGAGAGATGGCAACACATCCTAACTTAGTATTATAAATACGATTGTGAACGTCGTATATCCGTGTGTTAGATTTTCACGTTTTAACTACGAAACCGATAATCATGTAACATTGCATATGTTTCCAGGAGTATAGAAATAAAAATAGAGTATCCATAATCTAAAAATAAAATACTGTTCATCTAAAAATAACGTTTACGGGTACGAAACCATCTGCCAACGCTTACCGGCAAGGTGACAGGGACTCGCCATTTTAGGCGTGTTTATACGCCTATAGTGGCAAACAATCACATCTACATTTTAATATATACATATCAAATTATCATCAGATTCATTAACTCAGAGCCTAAACCGCTGGGGCTCCAAACTTGACATTTGACACCTGATGTTTTTATGTTGGGCCCTTGTACCCCTAAGGGGTTAAAATAAGGGATGAACGGTTGTATGGGCGTTCGTCATTTTCAAAGATAGAAATAAGAAATAGCCACTTGAGTGAAGGCGCGGGCTTAGCTAGTTATAAGACAAATTCGATTCGATCAAATAACAACCACCACCAATAAACAGCGTAAAGTTATTTAAAGAAAATTACGTCACGATTCCTTTACACGGTTTAACAACCACCCATCATTATCACGCGTGCACGGACGTTCGTCATGCACAGAGAACAATAGGGGAATCATGACTATATATTGAAAAAAAAAACCTATCACCATAAACAATAGTAATTCTGCCCTATCTGTGGCTATTGAAGCGGTTTATCAAAGCATAACAAAAACAATATTAGGTTTTTTTTTATTATGGCAATTATCATTACTGGATTGTCAGGTTTGAGACATGATTCATGGCGTGGTAGGAAGTATAGATAAAATTACTATTAAAATAATTGATAAGTAAAAATAGAAGCATAGATAACGTATAACGTTAAAAATGAAGGCTCACTAATTTTACTTCTACTGTTATTTTAATATAAAAACTATATATTCGTACGTTCAAAAAATCTTCATAGGATTTATAATATGTATAATTTGTACTCGAAAACTAGGTCGTAACGTGTAGTACCTAATATTGACTCGGGAAAGGTCGTAAAGTAGGTAAGCAATAAAATGTACAATACAACACAATACAGTACATAAAGTTTTACGTAACAAAAATACGACATTATGTCAAACAAATCATTGAATCCACACACACTATATTTTATTCCTTTAAACAAATCAAGGATTCCATTTTCAAACTTTCTGCAAATGAAACATCTGCTTTCAAAATTAAAGAAAAAGTACTTTCTTATTTTAAAAAAAAGGTAATTCAAACTTCAAAATCATAAAACTTTATTCATTTAAAAATAACCATAGATTTTAAAATCCCACGTTCTTAAAACATCTGGCACCTACCACCTTAAAAGTTCTACATCTGTTTCTTTTGTCCTCTAATATATTCCGGAAAAGGATAACTTTTCGGAACACATTGCGGAACAGGAACAGATGTTCCGACTTCGGAACTTAAGGTTATTGTCCGCAAATTGCTTTTGTTCGGCGAAACAATATGTTGTAAAGCTGTATTTTTCCCCGGAACGTCATCAAAGATGGCATTAGTAAGTAATTAAAGGATTACTAATAGCAAACAGAATGCAAACAATATTAAAATGTTTATAAAGCTTAAACCACATCATATTATCGACGTAGTCATAATCTGTTACTAATCTAGGAGATATTGTATTCCAATCAACGCAGAAACAAACTATTTTTCAGGTCAGATACAGCATAATTTTGGTATATGTCTATCTCATTTAAAAAAAGACATTAAGAAAAAAATCTGCAATTATTGTAAATGTATTTCAGCAATACAGTCCAAAGACATATTCTTGAAATATTTTTATGATGCTTAATGCAAAAATTATGTAAAAAATAAGGATTTTTATCAAAGTATGTACCTAATGTAGGTATTATACAACATTTCACCATTCTATTTTTTTTAAATCGAGGTCAAGTTACACGCGTTGCAGTGTAATACTCTCACACAAACTTATTTCATAACTATTTTAGTGTTTACCACTTTGAAAAAAATATTAAGTAATGAAATGTAAGTAATCTATATGTTTCATACTAAATGCCCAACACTAAGTAAGAGCAAAGGAATCAAGAGATACGGTTTTCGAATCACTCCAATTTAAAAATCGAATCTATAGTAAAATTCATTACTTTCAACAAATAATGCGCATGGAAGCATTTTTCATATTTGGAATACCTACTTAATCAAACAAAATAAGGCTAAAATTTTTGTAAAAACAGCTACATAAAAGGGGTCCAGTCTATATTACGATCTGGAATGGTACAGATGTCTATGCAATGACAATTCATGTTACAATGGTCAATTTATTAAACAACATTCAAAACGTTCGAAATTCGACTGCTGAGCAATCCTATATTTTATACAAACTTAGAATAAAAAAAAGAACAACTACCTACACTAATCCGAAATCGCAATTTAAAAAAAATCTTAATTAAGTCAAGGTGTAACATACATCTGGCCTTTAACATTAAAAAAAAAGCAAAATCATTACAGGAAGGCAGATGGCGCGTGGTCTTCTAATTAACCAGTTCTTATTTTAAATTATTATGTATTTATAATTAGTTGATAATAAATTGTAACATTACTTGGTATAATGTTCTTTGATAGATATATAGGTATGATTATACCAGGTTATTTATAACTAATGCAATAATTTATTAACTATTATTATACTACTAAGTATATGATTTTTTCGGCAGTCATGGGCACTGTCCATGACGATGTGATAAGCCATGCAGGATACGGGTTCGCCGTTTTCAATAAAAAACATGGCGAAAACGGTAAAAACGAATAGTATCTACCTACACATAGTTTTATATTCTACTAGCTGGTACCCGCGACTTCGTTCGCGTGTAAATTAAAAAGCGCTGCCTAGTGATAGTACGATACACGACTGCAGTCCATGAGGCTTCGGGTTCGATTCCCGAACCGGGCAGAAAATTATAGGGTTTTTCTGAGAGAAAAATAACCTAATTTACTCCTTATACAGTAAAATATTATTACAATCGGTCCAGCCGTTTTCAAAATTACCCGGAACAAACAGACAGATATACATACAAAACATATTTAAGCTGGTTTTTAGGTTATTATTAAGTATTTTGTCATTACAAACCGACACTTCAATTTTATTTATTTGTATGTATAAGTACCTATATAGACATAGGTTTCCCTTACATAACTAAATTAAATAAAACATATTACAATAACAACGATATCACCGATTTATTGTCTAAAATTCCAAATCATGATTAATAAACTGTATTCTTCATTTTTTAAATTTTTACTTTTCCTAAAAGGGCCCTCTTTGAATTAAGAATTACACTCATAATTAAATTTGACTAACATTAAGTTAATAATTTAATCTATTAAACCTAATTATTGATGGTTCACTGAAGGCGAACATAGTTCTTACGGTTACGCAAAAAAATTGCAATCAAATAGCCCCTGTTTTTTTTTATAAAAATGAAAAAAATATCATAAAATAACTTGAGTACATTTTTATTTATCATAACGAGTCATGTTTATAATAACATGAGGGTATTTTTAGATAAAAATCTTAATGAATTTGAAATTACGGTTTCATTCTTCACGCACTCACGCAAAACTCTAGCATCTACACTTGTTCACAATAATATTAATAATGTACAATAAAAATATATTAAAAATACTATAAATACTATACCCGAACACTACAAAATACGTTATCGATTTTATCTCCCCCATATTTACATAATAATACAAAAAAGACCGTTACACTTACCCAAGCCAATTTTTTTCTTTATTTTCTTCAATACTTTCATCTTGGAACCCTTTTTATCCTTTACAGGTGTGGTTTCAGGTTCTAAAGCCATTGGGGGCAGAACGAGCGTTTGGGGCGGCATCGGAGCGCCGTGACCCGAAGACCTAGGGCACGCGGGACAGTGGCAGGAACCCCGGGCCTGCCGCACGCTCATACAACCACTTACGCCCATCATTGATGCGGTTAATTCCAAATAAAAATATTTTAAACAAACAACTCCTATTTCATAACTGTCACACCGAAAATTTAACACGATACACGGAAAATGTTTTTACGAACTCACGATATCCATACCGCACTTGGAAACGACCTAAACGCGAGACGTCCGCGCGGTAAGCGAGCCAGCCGCGGAGTGACGAACGAACCGCCAAGCATTCATATCAAGGGCTTCGGGAAAGCTGCGTGCGCATCATCAGCCCTTACTGCCTTTCTTTTCTATCGGGCAATGTTAGAAAGGGACGCAAAACAAAAATGGTGGGAGAATGTCAACATAGGTATTTTCAGCTTAGCAGATGTGTAGGACAAAGGGGATGGTGAAAAGTTAATTTTGTGTGACATTTTGAAGGACCTTTGTTCATAAAAGGTGCTAAACTTGTAATGATAAAAGAGGTTGGTATAAGATGGCTCGTGATCGCGTGCGTAGATTTAAAAAAAATGCAGGTGCGTATAAAAAAGCTTCAACACCGTCATAACACTTAGGAGTTAAATAAAAAGTCATGAGTATTCCGCTCTATGTGAACAAAGGAGCACCTACGAGGTACTTGAAGCTCATAACAACAGAAAGTGGAAATGTCGCCTATTGGAAATTGGCATATATGTAAAACTTAAAAAAAAAACACGGTCGAGTTTTCCATGTATTTTTTTAATATAAAGAAAAAAGTTCATGATACAGCATTGAATTTTTCTTATATTCAAATATTTATACGAAAAACTACAAGTTCTGAATTTTTCAAATAGTTTTTTGGTCTCCGTTGTAAAATTAGATATTTCGAGACATACCGAAATCTGTTTCTGCTGTTGATATGTTAAAGTCAGCTAAAGGCTTCCATCATTAATGTATATGAGGATTTAAAACTATACTTATCGACTTAGTCTACAGCTTTTAGAAATAACCCAGTGTGTATACATAAGACGGCCTAGTGGTTAATGACCTTGACTGCTAAGCATGAGGTCGTGAGTTCGATTCTCACCCAGGACAAATAATTGTGTGATGAAAACGATCAAATATTTTTTCCGTGTCTGGATGTAATTTATCTATAATATGTATGTATTTAGAAATATATCAGTGTGTTTGTCAGCAGTCTGGTGGACTCTAGTTTAAGATCGGATGGCCGTGTGTGAGGTCACTATTATAGGTAAGTCAGGAATGAATCAAGAACGTGAAATCAATCGAAGTTACCTTCACACTCAGTTATATTAATGTACCATGAAGTCCATGGACCTACAGGTACCAGAGTAGTGTGAGTTTATTCCACATGAAATCACTTTCGACGGGGTGGCGCGTTCGGTGTTGCGATTGGTGAAGATTTCAGTGTGGGCTAATCGCAATACCGAAAGCGGTCATTGTGGCTATCGAGTAGATGTGAAATAACCTCACACTAGGCCCTCTGGTCTTCAAACCGTTTAGACACCGATCGTGGTGAATTCATGTTCAAATGATTTTTAATGACTTTGCGTGAAATCATTACTGTTTTATGATTAAGAGTTATTGATTGCGTGATGTGGTTAATGGTAGGTGATTTGCACACGTACGTTAAAGTATTTTTGATTAATGGGATTAATTAAATGAATGACTGGTTTTTTGGTGTAGTGGTTAACGAGCCTCACTGGTATTACTGGCCAAAGGTTCAATCCCACCCGGGACAATAATTTCAAAGATTCCGAGAAAATCAAAGATTGAAGATGTGAAGTAATAATAATAATATATTTTACTAAATTCACACAACGCCATCTAGTCCCAAACTAAGCAGAGCTTGTACTATGGCTACTAGAGAACTGATATAAATACATATATATATTTTTTTCTTAAATACATACATATTATACATAGAAATACCCAGACCAAATCGAACATTAAATGTTTATGCACACAAATGTTTCACTAGAGCGGGAATCGAACCCGCGACCTTTGGAATAGCAGTCCATTACACAAACCACTATGCCATCCGGTCGTCAAAAAGATATTTTTGTGTGCTTACATTGCATACGCTGGCTAAACCTTAGATAGATCAAAATAAAGTACTTTTTTTTTTTTTTTTTTTTTTTTTTTTTTATAAAAGACAACTCCCGCATTAGGAATAAATCCTGTGTCGCGGGGGACTTTACAAACATACATGAAACGGACACAAAGAACACCCAGACTCAGAACAACAATTTGTGGATCACACAAAGTGTCGTCCCATGTGGGGTTTAACCCACAACACTCGGCGCAGTAGGAAGCGGCGTGGCGACCGCTTAAACCACTACGCCATCCGTGCAGTCAGTGCAGTCAGTCACTATGGAATTGTATATCTTAAAAGTATCTACAAAAAAGCCCGGGTTGGTATATGTTTATCTCCTAAGGATAACCATTTTAATCCTTAACATTTTACAAAAAAAAAATGGGTAATTTACGAAGCGAAGAAGATGATTAAAATAAATATATTAGAGATATCGGAGATATCTAAAAGGCCGTCGTCACCGCGTTGGGCCGTACCCGGGTGGCAACGGCCAGCGGGAGCGGAGCGGGTTTATAAATATTGCATTTAAAGATGTAATGTAGTATAGTCTATAGTAATATATAAATATGTTTATCAGCGGTTTGGCTACCATAGTACAGGCTCTACCTAGTTTCTGATGGTCGTATGTAAGATGTATCAAGTTTATTTAAAAAATATATACATCTAACCGATTTTTTTATCAAAATTATTCATATTTTGATTTAAATGTATCTTTCTATCCTTTAAGAAATAGTACTTGTCCCTAAACGTATACAAAAGTACTTGCAGACATATTACCAGTACTGCATGTCCAGTATGTCTACAAGTACTGCCCCTTTCTGTTCCCCTCACAATACGGACACAAAACATTATAATGGTATGTTAAAATTTAACAAACAAACTGACATCAACATTTTTATTAATATTTTATTTGAGTACCTACTTAGAATTCGGTAAAGTCTAGTGTAGAACAATAGAGGTGTCGATTCCGTGTTTTTCCCTCTTATTTGTAAATAATTATAAATAATTAGTAAATTATGAATAAAATTCTAAAAAATTCCATGTGCATTAACAGAGTTAAGGTCATGTCTGCAGTAATTATAGTGCAGCGTTTCTCAAAGTATTCGCAAACCCCAAGGCTTATTGACCCCGGCGTAGCCCGTCTAAACGGCTTTTAGACTTCCCCACTCTATAAATCTAATTTTATATAACAATATATATTACCATCCCATCTATTACCCCAGCCGTTAATCCAGAGTGTCAGCTACCTCCATACCAAATTGCGTGACGAAGTAACAAACATACACTCACAAACTTTCGCCTTTACAATATTAGTGTGATTCTAGTTAATATAGTTAATAGCTGTGAACTTCTTATTTAGAGTTATTCATATCAATCTGAACATTAATTTAATTGGTCTATGAAAATAAATTTTATTTAAATTAATCATAAATCAATCAAAAATTTCTAATACAAGGCAAGAAGGCAGCACGCCAACTCATGTAGTAATTTAATTTTGTTTCTAATTGAAGCTCGCTTTGATTAGAAAGCGAATACGAACAAATGTAATATATCAACGTTGTTTAGAACACTTGTAATCGTTTGATATCGTAACTTCTCTAGGAACCTCTTTTATATTAATTGAGTAATCGTTTTTTATCCCTCGCTTTTAGGTTCATTTGTAACTCACTAACATGTAAATTAATTTTAAGAGGGCGATTCGAAGAGATTTTCCACCCCGTCAACAAGAATAAAAGGCCCCGCGGACGATTGTAACTCTCCAGTGGCTGGCAACAGACATGAAAGGTTTTTTTGACACAATATTCTGCCTAAGACGAATTTAGACAAACGATGACTGGCTTCTGTGAGGTATACCTTGGATTTAAATCATGATATCCTAGTTGTTAGGTTATTAGTTTCAAGTTCCAATTGTAAGGATAGCACGGTCAGTTTACTTAACTTTTACTTTATTTATATAAAAACTGTCACAGTTGGGTTATGTTTTTGCAATTAAATGGGGAGTTAGTCAATTATCCGTGTAGTGACGGATTAGGAGTAGGGAGAGTCACCACCCCTATTCATCCAGAGCACACTACGCAGGACAACAGCACTGCAAAGAGAAGGAAAACTTGACACAAACCCTTTTTTTTAAGTTTGAAAACTCTCTCGGGCCGTCGCCCCCGTAAACAAGGTTTGTTGTGTGAAAATCGGACGGACTAAAACCACACTGAGATCCAGGAACTGCTGTTATTAAGACATCCGGGAACTGCTGTTATTAAGACATCCGGACCCCTCCTAGCGCCTGCCCGCAATGGCGCATGCACCAGCTTCATGTACATTCTCTATTTAGGCGATCTACTTGACACAAACCCTATACCAACCCGTATTGCCAGTGTGGTATAGTAGACCAAAACCTTTTTTCTCAGGAGAGGCCTATGTCCAAATCGACAAGTAAAGGCTGTTGATGATGATGGGGAGATAGTAGTAGCTGTGAGTTTGAGAAACTCTATCATATTGTATTCATAAAAAATAACAGTCAAAAACTAGTGATAATTAATATATTATAAAATAAAAAATTACTGCAACACAAGGTTATTATAGTACTTATTAAAAATATAAGCAGAATCAGTGTCCACGGAAACTACAAAACAATGCAAATAGGAGATGTTTTTTTTAATATTTTAGCTTTAATAGTTATGACCTTAAAAACGTATAAGCTACTCCAATGCGCATACAAGATAATAAATTGTTAAAAATTGTATTTTTCATTCCTCCATTTGCCACCCTAAGAGGTAGCCCTTAACAGGAACAAAACGGGAAGTATACCCTCCCAAGTAAAATATTCCAAATCGGTTCATTAATCACTATGATGGATAATTTGAAAAAATACGGCCGATTTAAGAACCTCCGTCTTTTTTAAAATCGGTTGGAAATATATTTTACGATGAAATTTTGTTAAAAATTCTGAGAAAAC